TACATTGGTAAGTCTTTTAGGAACTGTCTGTCAAGTTATGGCAATGCAGACACCTGCTCTTTGTCATGGCCTCTGTGTATGAGATATTTTAAACACTAAAATCCAAGAAGAAACAGCTGGGTGTTCTTCTGTGAACATGCCACAAACCTGAGCAAAGCTGACTTCAGGAAAAGGAATTTCTGAAGCTTTTTTTGCTTTTATGGTAGTCAAGGTGTTCCCTTGAAGCCAGAAAGTCCTTTTGCATCAGAAAGAGAACAGTGGTAGCACAAGGCCTGTATTTTATGTCCTGCATACACAACCCAAAATCAATAAAGACATGTACAAATAGAAAAATATATGCTATGAACCATGTGAACATGCAACTGCTTTTGATATTTTATCACAGGCCTCACTACCTCAGCTGAAATCAGTGACAAACCAATGGTACCAACCAGTCACTGGAACATTACAACTTCATCTCCTTGTGTCTGCAAAGCAAGAGATTCATATCATGACATAGTCCTTTTGGTTTTCCATGGATGTGCAGAGGAAATCATCTTTCAAGGAGTTAATCAAGCTCACAGGCAACTAAAAACTGGCTGTAGAAAGGGCTACATAACACATGAAAGTCACTACTGGACACAGATCAATGTTGAGCCCAATACTCCTATAGAAAACATCTGCTTGTGTTTCTCCTGTTACTAGCTGTAGGAAAAAACAAACCCAGATCTTAGCAGAGACTGTACCTCTAAAGCCAAATTTCTTTTCAAGCTGAGAAATATGACTTTTGCAGAAGAGCAGAGGCTTAGCAATAGCACATCCACAGGGTCTACTCCAAGGGTGCCAAACCCCAGGCTTCTACTTCACAGAGCCAGAAAAGACTGAGAATGACAAACATTTTGTTCTCCAAGCATTTTGGAGAATGTTCCTGCTCAGCTTTGTAAATTATATCTTATCACCTGCTGAATAAACTCAAATATTACAGCATCCAAAGCATTGTAATCAGTGTTTGTAAGAAACAATTCCCTCTGTGCAGGTATGGGTGTTTTAGGTCACCATTGCAACATCTCCCACACCAAGGATTAAATGCCAGATGATACTGTTAAACCTCAGTGCTGCCAGTTTCCAGCCAGGTTGGCAATTTTGTACATACACTAACTTATCAATTCCATCTTTAAATTAAATCTGGGTTAAAATCAGAGCAATTAGCTCTCTTTGATAAGCTTAAACCTACTATTTACCTACCAGAAGCAGATGCTGGTTTATTTTTAAATATTCCATAGCTGCCTGTTACAAGATATAAGCAGAAACCCTATTTAGGAAGCATGTAACATCTCTGGAATTTTTAGCAGAATGCATCTCTCCTGCTTTCCTGTGAAAGCATCACCCATTTTTGCCTGCTAACTATAGTCCAAAATGTAATGGAGACGTTTGGCAAAAATACCCCCCACTGCCACAATGTCCCACGAAGTAGACATGTTATTTTTTGATTCTGCTATGCTTGCTTCCACAAGATCAAATGAGAGCTAAAATGCTATTAAGGCACCTAACAACATGTTCTTAGCAATAAATTCAGTCAAATATAGCAAAATGGAATGACTGAGTCTAGGACAGATGTCCAGTGAGACCTGAGACAAGTCATTCTGAACAGCTGCTGGCATGAAATGCAGTATTTGCAGCACTGATTGGCTCTTCACATTTTGGTAGTCCAGCCAATGGGACAAAAAAAACTTTCCCTCAACCATTTCCATTCTTTGATTCATGTGTCTCCCAGGAGCTCACAAAGGATTATGTCTATTAAAACCCCAGCTTGGCTGTGGCAATATATGCTTTTGTCTTAGAATGTGCACAAACTAAACAGCAGTTTGGCATGTGCCCTAGTCACGTCCTCCACACACCCGGTGGTTTCAATGTCCCTGTTTCATGCAGAGCTGTCAGTAAAACCACAGAAAGTTAACTACAACAGCTATTAAAAGTTTTACCTTCTAAATATATGTAAGGCATAGCCCTTTCAGTGAACTCCTTTCCTATTCCTACTGTGCTAACATGAAATTTCAAAGTGGCACAGGCACAAGAAAATACTCGGTCCTGTTTGCCACCTGCCCTCTCTCACTTCCCAAAACAGTTCCACTTCACATATCCAGACAACAAAAAAAGTTCTCTGATCTCTACGATAATGCATCTGCTCATGGTGCTCTCATTGTCTCACCCTCTATTTCAGTGGCTGGCTTCAGGGATAGCAAGAATTGGGATCTCATTGAAAGCATTGAGCATGCAAAACAATCAACTAAATAAATAAATAAAAGAACAGGACAAGGCTGTCAAAGAGTAGTTTCCTTGATTTAAATTTAGGAAGAAATACTTATGGAATATATGCACAGCCTTCCAAACAGAAAAGACTTAGGTACAGAGGAAGAGGATCACTGAATGGTTTGGGTTGAAAAGGAGCTTAAGGATCATCTAGTCCCAACCTCCCTGCATGGGCAGGGACACCTCCCACCAGATCAGGTTGCTCAGAGCCTCATCCAACCTGGACTTGAACAGTTCCAGGGATGGGGCTTCCACAACCTCCCTGGGCAATGTGTGCCAGCGTCTCACCACCCTCACACTAAAGAATTTTTTCCTCATGTCTAACCTTAATCTCCCAAGTTAGAGTTTTAATCCGTTACCACTTGTTCTATCACTACAAGCCCTTGTATAAAGCCCCTCCCCAGCTTTCCTGTAGCCCCTTCAGGTACTATAAGGCCACTATGAGGTCTTCTCAAAGCCTTCTCTTCTCCAAGCTGAACCCCAGCTCTCTCAGCCTGTCTCCATAAGAGAGGTGCTCCAGCCCTATGAATATCTTTGTGGCCCTGCTCTGGATTCACCCCAAGAGCTCCATGGCCTTCCTGTGTTGAAGGTTCCAGAACTGGACACAGTGATCCACGTATGGGTTCTCATGAGAGAGAAGTAGAGGGAAATAAACTCTTTTTGATATCCTGGGAAAACAGGAAAAAAACAGGATCCAATTGCTATGAGAGGGACTGAGGCCAGATTCTGAGATGGTGTCCCCCACTGAGGCTGGAAGGAAGGATCTGGGGATGTTACAACATCTCACCAGAGTTCATAGATCAGAACACTGTCCAGGAACAGCTATGGCAGACCTGTCTTCTATAACTGCTCTTGCTGTGAAAATCAGCCCATTGAACCAGTGTTTGATGTCCCAGTTGATAACTCCTCTTTCTACCCTTGCCTCCACTTCCTCAAATCCACCTCCATTCACAATGTCCTGTGTACCTGAATACTCAATTCCTCTTGTCACTGTTAACATCCTTACAGCTCTGCCTACATGATACTCAGTATGTGCCCATGATCTCCTCCATGTTTGTTCAGCTAATTCCCTTCTCTCTGCTCCCTTTCCTTATTGAAGCTGATGGCTGGCAATCTGATTCTGTTTGTTCCTACACTGAAACTGATCTATTTAGCAGCCTCTTTTCCCCTTAAAAGTTCCCTGTATCTAGTAAAACTAAATCTTTCCTTTTCACTTCCAGTTTTAGAGCCTTTAATGCTTCCAACCAAACCCACTACTGCAGGTGGAAGCAAATGCCCTGAAGAACGACTGCTGTCACACTTAGGATGAAGGATGCTCCCAGTAATCCTTAGCAATCTAATGCAGAGTGGTATGGACATAGTATAGACATAGTATGAGCTCAGAAAGCCATAGAAAAATGTCATTATACTCTGACAGACAGGTAAGTGATTTTTTGAGAAGGTCAAAACCACCTAAATATTGTTGGACAATATCAACTACTTTATGCCTGCTTCTGGTAGTCACTGTTTAAGAACTATACATAAGCCCAGAGCATTATGTTGCACTTTTTTTTTATTGTGAATGGAGGTCACAGAGAGCAATGAAAGAGCCTCACAACCACCTACAAGTCCTGCTTTTTACAGGCAACTTACTGACACCTGGTCTTTTCTCCCTGGTATCCAATGATAGGCCATGGGTTGGCCAGGGGATGTTTAGCCTGCACATTAGGAAGCATTTCTTTACTGAGAGGGTGATCAAACACTGGAACAAGCTTCCCAGAAACATGGTCAATGTGCCAAGGCTGTCAGTGTTTAAGAGGCATTTGGACAATGTCCTTAATAATGTGCTTTAACTTTGTCAGCCCTGAAGTGATCAGGCAATTGGACTAGAGGATCATTGTAGGTACCTTCCAGCTGAAATAGTTCTCTTCTGTTCTATTCTGTACTACCCTATCTTACCCTTCCCTACTCTACCCTATCCTACCCTCTCCTACTTGACCATAACACAAGTTCCAGGCCTGCAGACCAGGTAACACTGCCATATGTTGCAGCATCACACAGGGAGTCATCTGTTGTCTTTCAAGTTCAGACCTAGGAACCAGAGCAATGTCTCATTAACTTGGCCCAAAGAGCTCACAGTAACCACAGCACACCCTGAAAAAAAAGCAGCAAATGAGGTAACTTGTATGTAGTCACCAAGAACAAGAAAGTGATTTATCAATGGTGGAAAGCTAAAGGTCTGTGTATTGTTGTTCCTTTTAAAGTGTTGATAGATACCAGCCATAATACCACTACAGTTCCCTTCACCATGGGCTGTAGATTCAAAGTTCACATATTCAGTGTGAATTTCACATGCTGTTCTCCATTAAAAGCCATTCAAAACAGCACTGAGGTTTCTGTTGAGAGCCAGAGCACTAGCGATCGCCAGTTGTCAGTAGAGTTGGGCTGTGGAAAGGCAGAAAAGCACAAGGATCCTTTTGCTTCCTAAATGACCATTTTCAGCAGCATCCAGAACACTCTTTGCACAGCACAGTGCCAGAAAATAAGGGGGAAAACCCCAAATCACATACAAAATAAAACAAATTCTGAATAGAAATAAGATTTCACCCTTCATCTTCAGTAATCCAAAATATGATAAAATAACTGAAGTATATCAGAACCAAACGGAATTCACTTTTTGGTTTCTAGTTGACCTATTATAGTTATGTAGAAGAAGTAGGAGCTCTACTTACTTTCACAGAGACGTCTTCTCAGCTTCCCCCGGATTTTATCGATGGCGTTGTAATCGGAGACATGAAACACGTGAGCAGACTTGGGTTCTGAAGCAATCTCATCGAGTTCCTCTTTCAAGGCCTCACCAACACCCACAACAAAGATCCTAATCCCAGCCTGACGGGCTGCAGTGGCTGGATCCAAGACATAATCCTGGCTCCTTCCATCAGTCAAAAGGATAGCCACTTTCTTAACAGTTCGGTCACTAAGTCTCCCACCAGCTTCTTTGGAAAAACTGTAAGTGTTGAGGTACCTGAGAGCATCTCCAGTGTTTGTATTTCCCCCATCATACTTAATTTTCCATGCAGCCTCTTTGATTTCCTCACGGGTTTTGTACTTTCCCAGGTCAAACTCTGTGGTTGGACGATCACTGTATCTCACCACACCAACACGGGTTTTGTCTGGGCCAATCTCAAAAGTTTCCACCAAATTAGACACCCACTGGCGAACTTTCTCAAAATCTTCTTTTCCAACGCTGGAGGAGGCATCCAAGACGAAGACAAGGTCATAGTGAACATTCTTGCAACCTGCATGAGTGGCAGAAAATATTGCTAAGGGGAGATGAAAGCAGAGTAGCAGATATACCAAATATTCCCTAGGCATGGCTCCCTGGTGAGCAATTTGGAGGAAGAAGCAAAACCTTTCTGCTATCCTGCAGAGAACGTGCTGATTCTCAGCCTTTCTTCCTCGTGATTCACCTCCTCTGTTTCAGGACACCTACAGTAGATCAGCACACACTTCACTTTGAAATGCAAACCCTTTCTCTTCCTGCACTGCTAACTGCCTCTGCTCAATCTCTCACCTACACCATCTGCATGCATATGAAGCTATTTTCTCAGACTTCATTGCAGTGCTTTTGCTCAGGCAATGCTCTGAAATGACCTTGACAGATGAAGAGACCTGCCCTGACCTTGCCTATGCCAACCCTGACCGTAAGTAGTGAAGCTTTCATGTTCCCTCTTGCTGTAACATTATGATTTATTTATGCTTAGCTAGAAGCAGTTCTTTTGCTCAGCATGATGTCTTGGTGAAGCAAGTTCATAACAAGATTATTTTGATTTTGAGGCTCTCTGCCATTGACTATATATTGACTAAAGGATGACTCATTGAATTCTAGGATGGCTTCCTTGACAACAAAGGGCAGTTGCTTTGTAAGAGAAAAGTTCACCTATCCCTACAACCACCCTTCTGGCCCCAGCCATGATATTTGTAATCTGAGGCCTGTGTGATCCAAAAGGCAAATGTATTTTAAATGAAGCTTGCTTGCCCTATGAAACCAGACTAGTCATATATTTGTCAGCTGCTTGCCAAGAAAGTAGATCTCCCAGGAGATGTTCTCTAGCTCTTTCTGAATATATGGAAGACAGAAGGCAATACAGTCATAAATGTACTGCAGATGCCAAATGCTAATCAATATAATGCCCCAACTGGATGAAATACATAAATATATACATGATTATTTAATTCACTAGTGTAGACTATAGTCCCTAGCAAATTATGAGTTTCAAGATTGAAAGGTGGAGAGAACGATGCTGTTGCCATATTTCCTCAGTGAGCTACAGCATTCAAGCCTACAGGAAGATCATAGAATCATAGAATAGTTTGGTTTGGAAGGAGTTTTAAAAATCCAACCCACCCACAATAAGTAGGGATATCCTCAACTAGATCAAGTTGCTCAGAGCCCCATCCAACCTGGCCTTGAATGTTTCCAGAGATGGGGCATCTACCACCTCTCTGGAAAACCTGTGCCAGTGTTTCACCACCCTCATTGTAAAAAACTTCTTCCTATTATCCTAAGATCACAAAGTCTTCTCTCAACTCCAAATTTTTTACCTTACAGTTCATAATTTAGCTTTGGCGTTTTTGGTCATCCTGGGGCTCTGCACTTGCCCTGAAGAGGACAGGAATCCCAGAACAATCCCTAGCACTGGAAAGGAGAGTGTGGGTAACTGAGCCACATGAAGAGGATTTGCCTTCAGATTAAGCATTATAATGCTGAAGGTCAGTGCTCCTTGCATGATGACCATGAGAGTGGCTGAGTATACACCTGGTGTGTTGAAGGTGACAATGAAAAATGAGCATCAACTGTTGCTGAGTTAACTTTTGAAGCAGCCTACATCCCAAGTTTTGTTCTGTTAGTGTCTACAGGAACAACCTGTGCCTATGGAGCCGGGATCACATTGAGACCAACCCATCCACATGAGATCACATTGGAAACTACCTGGGGGCATGTTCTGTGGTGGCATTTTGTGAGTGAGGGAATGCTTGTCTCTAACCACAGAGCAAGCAAGATCTGTGTGGGTAAACTCTCTCAAAGGTAATCAATGTGAAGATGACTATACGTTTCATTTCATATTATGGGGTGTAAGTTACTGCCAAGTGTAGTTCTGCTTGATTTTTGAAGACTATAAAGGGTATTCCAGTACCTTAAGAGGCTACAGGAAAGCTGGGAGGGGCTTTTCACCAAGCCTTGTAGTGAGAGGACGAGGGGTAATGGATTAAAACTTGAAGAGGGGACATTTAGATTAGACATTAGGAGGAAATTCTTCAGTGTGAGGGTGGTGAGACACTGGCACAGGTTGCCCAGGAAAGTTGTTGAAGCCCCATTCCTGGAAGTGTTCAAGGGTAGGTTGGATGAAGCTCCGAAAAACCTCATCTAGTGGGAGGTGTCCCTTCCAATGCAGGGGAGTTGGATTTAGATGATCTTTAAGGTCCCTTCCAACCCAAACCAGTCTGTGTTTCTAAGATTCTATGATATAACAAACCAGGGTTAGCAAGACATCTCCACTTTCCCTCCCCTGAAAAATGCAGTTATATTAATCTATTCTGTCTGAAAGAACATTAATTAACTGAGACTAACTAGAGAATATAAAGGTTTGAGTATAAAACTGACAAGGTACAGACCTTCCTGTTGCTTATTTTAATGACTCTCAGCAGGTGAGATGGCTACAATTTAAAAACAAACAGAATAGACAGAATGAATCCCAGCTGTGTTCAAGGGCAATGAGCCTTAAAACAAGGGGGGTTTAAGGTTTAAAAAGTGATGCTATTTCAGGCAGTATTGTAGGGAAGAAAGAGCTGGTGTTTCAGGATCATGGTCTTAAGAGTCAGTGATTTTTTTACTTACAAACCTGATGACAGTGAGAGAAAACCCTGCAGAAAAGCTTTTAGTAAATATTAATCTGCATTTTTAGCACAGTCATGTCTAATGTCTGCTGCTGGGAAAAACTGATTGTTTTCCAAGAATGCTATAATAATATTGTTTACTGGAAGAAACACATTCAGGGAATATTGGAGATAATTCATAGAAAGTGAACTTTCATTTTTGTCATTACAGGAATGCTCTGAGGAAGCATCATTCCAAGGGTTGAGTTCATCCTCTCAGACACTGACTTTGCCATATTGCCATTAGGAATAGTTCACAAACAAGTCATAAGCCCAAAGTTATTTAAAGCAATCACAGGATGAACATAAAAATGCTACCACCATGTCCTTCCTGCAATTCAGCTACAGGCAGAAAAAAAAAAAAGAAAAGGATATTTCACTTTGTTTTGTTACTAAGTACTTATTCCCTTTAAACCTCATCCAAACAGCATAGATCACATAACTAAACTGTAAAGCTGCTATTCCTTAGACTGATAGGAGGTCTATAAATTACCCAAGACTACAGAATAGCATCTTTCCTAGAAAAAGAGACAAAAAGCCTCCATCTCAAAAGTACTTTTGGGCTTTCATATCAATAAACAGTTTGTGTCCACAACCATTTTCTATCCCTGAGGTACAGCATCATTCATCCAGATAACTCTTGCTACTCCCTCTCCAAAACAGCAAAATGTCCTTGTCAAGATTCCCTGTAGGAACAGTCCCTCAGCTGCATTCAGTGGCATTTGGGGGAAAGTGCCCAACAGCACAGGCCTGAAGCCACACCAGGGACTATGCCAGCAATGTGAGGGTGTGTACCAAGAGAGAGAGCATGACCAGTGCCCCCAGTCTCCTCTAGCTCACTAGGAAGGTCCCAGCCATTCACCAGCTCTAATCTGAAACCCGCTGAAGGCAGTGGAAGAAGAGATCTCCGTGCCAGTGCAGGGTGGATGAAGCATGTTCAGAACAAACTGCATGTTGCTCCCCTTGTTCTGGGTAGCTGACATAACCTTTTTAAGCCTACAGAGAAGCAGAGATGCTAGTTAAATCATTGTTCCCTGAGATATCTTCAACCCTAACATTTCTTTTATGCCTTTTCAACAGTAAATGTCTTCCCTGGTTTTCATACTGCTTTCCTGCTGGCAGCAGTAGCTTCTCAGCCACATAAAAGCCCCAGCAGCTGCTGGGCACGAGGCAATTCAGAGTGGCACATACCTGCTCTTTGTGCCTCAGTTCTCTCCCCGCTGAACATGAACATGAGAAGAACCAGGAGATGGGGCAGGCAGCGCCTCCCTGTACCACACATCTCTCCTCTCTCACATCAGCTTGTCTTTCCCCCGGGGCGAGATGTTTGTTAGAAATCCAATCTGTAGCCTAGAGAGAAAATAAAAAGCAAGTGTTACCTCATAGAAATACAAACAGAAGTAATGATGCCAGTCACAGGAGCAACGTTTTGGGGAGCTGTCTCTTCTGCCTGTCATTTTACTCAACTGGACACAAACTGCTCAGACAAAGAGGCAGGAGTTCACCTACTTTTCAAAAGCTATAGCCTTTCACTGGCTCTATTCAGTGTGCAGCAGCCTGAATGGAAAAAAAGAGAGAGATTACCAGATTATTATACTTTAATTGAGCCCGCTGCCAACTACACAATCAACGCACTGGAGTGGAAACCATTCCTGACCTGGCCCTCCCAGACATTCATCATTAGGAGACACACAACGCAGAGCGAGATACAAACCACTGCAAAGCGCACACGACCCGTCGCTGCTTCACCCATTGCTGCTTCTGAGCCTCAGAAATGACAAGCACTAAAAAATACGTGGCTGTTTCCATGTATATTTGTTGCTATCGGTCCTTCTTTACAGGATTGAACTCAAATGCATCTTTCAACTTAAGCTGAAAAGCTCAGGTGGTTGAGCTTCAGTTTAAGGCCACGGGTTTGCATTTACCTTGACTGAAGTCAGTCAATATTGTAAAAAGCCAGGCAAACTTCCTGGCTGTTAAAAGTTTAGCTATGTTTTGTAACACTAGACCAACTCATATTTTAAAACTTTATGATCTACTTATTGCTGTTGTTTTATTATTTTTTATTAGACAGACCATAAAATCATTGCAGTTCTATATACCAGATACACACAGTGCAGAACAGTTTCCACTCGGTAGCTCTTTACTGCTTAAGGAATCATTATGGAAAACTGTCTCCCAGCTTCTGAATCCATCTTTTTCTCTTTAATGCACAGATTTATTTGTTTATTTTCTTAGGGAATTTCTGTTTCCTCTGCCCTTTAACATGCTCATCAGCTTCTTGCTGTTGATAGCTGGGTAAGAGGCACGAAGGCAACACTGTATGTTGTAAGTAATTGCTGCAAAGTCTCTTATGCCTTTTAGGATATTTCTTTTCAAAACAACAGGGAATCACAGACAAAAAGAATGGTGGTGTCAGCATTTGTTCAAAACCAATCTCATCCAGCCAAATGTTTGGCCTAACTCTACCATGTACCTCAGAAATCAAGTGCACATCATTCTGGTTTACAGAATAAATAAAAAAAAAAAAGAAAAAAAAAAAGGGGGGGGGAAATCTTTATGTAACTGCTGAGAGCTGTTTTGTCCCAAGACAAAACGCAGGTATTTTCAGTAGTCTGTGTCATATGCAGACAAGGTGAAAGGAATAATACACTTAATAAACCCTGAACTCTGCAAACAAAATGAGGCAGTATCTGCCAGCATTAGTAAATAAATGCAAGAGAAAATAATAATTAAAAAAATAATAAAAAAGGAAAAAAACAAAAAGTATGCTTATTGAAGCAGAAATCCCCCTAAATCCAAAGGGCAGGAGCAGGTGCTGTAGTTTACACCTCAGCCAGACGGTGTCCCTACAAGGCAGTGAGATGCTCGGGTTGGAGCCAGGCTGCAAAGTAAAAGGGGCATGAAAATATCCCCGTGCCCTACAGTAGTTAGAATTTCCTTCTAAATAAGTACATTACTGAAATACCGATCAGACAGCCGCCTGCAGAGGGATCAGGACAAGCATTAATTCAAATAGCTCTGGGAGACTTCAGCCCAAAGTTCCCCCACCCCCTTTTGTTGTTGTTGCTGTTGGTGGTGGGTTTTTTTATTGTGTGGTTTGTTTTTTCTTGGTTTGGGGCTCTGGTGATGGGAGAGCAGGTTAAAGGGGGCAGCAGGAGATGAGAAACCAGATCTGCATCCTGTGCTCCCAGTGCTGAGAGCTCAAAACGTTCCTTTCTCTGTGTCTGGGCCTGCACGACTGCAACGTTTTATAAATACATTATTAAAAACAGTCCTTGCCAGCTGCTAACCCACATGAGGCCAGGATAAATGGAGCACAGCACCAGCTGGTGTCAGTCAGGATGGACCAACACTGGCTCCACAGGCAGCAGACGCAGCGTGATGGAGGTCCTGGTGGACCTGGCTCACTTGGTACGTGTGTAACTTCTGCCCCAGCAGAAGGGCTACCTAGATGCTCAAGTCTGAGAGCTGCATCTCTAAGGCATCATTTCTCTCCACTCTTTGCCAAAACACTTCAAGAGCTCACTGCTGTGCTATGAACGCTGAAAGGTGTCTCAGAACAGTCATTTAGGCTAAAAAAAGTGGAAAAAACAACACAAATCAAACTAGAACATCTGCTTAAAATCTATAATCATAACCTGTGGTGGCTTTAATGCACATTTGTGGTTCAATATTATTCCTGCATTTAGGCCAGAAGACATAATTTTATCCATTTTTATAGCACGAAGAATTGAACCAAGTCTCTAAACTTGAAACTACTTTACGGATGGATATGTCAGTGAGAGAAAATTGCCCCATTAACATCAACAGGACTCATGTCATGGCAAGGAAGGCTTCAGGGGTATTAGAAGAAAGACTGGAGATAAAGCATTTCTAGTGATGGATTTTCCACACTGGTTACTTTTCCACCTCAGTTTGTCACCAGGAGACTGGGCCCAGTTTGAGAAGACAGGAGCTGATCATAGAAGCATATATTGGTTTAGGTTGGAAGGGACCTTAAAGATCATCTAGTTCCAACCCCCCAGCATGGGCAGGGACACCTCCCACCAGCCTAGGTTGCTCAGAGCCCCATCCAACCTGGCCTTGAGCACTTCGATGGGGCATCCACAACTTCCCTGGGCAGCCTGTGCCAGGGTCTCACCACCCTCACACTGAAGCATTTCTTTCTAATGTCTTACCTAAATCTCCCCCCTTCCAGTTTTAATCCATGACCCCTTGTCTTCTCACTCCGTGCCCCTGTAAAATGTCCTTTCCCAGCTTTCCTGTTTCCTCTTCCAGGGCTGAAAAGGAGCCAAAAGTAGGAGAGTTTAGGCTTTAGAGTGATCCAAGAATAAGAAATTCTGTCTAGTTGACCCTTTTTCCAGGTGGCCAGTGTGGATTTTTTTATTACAACCCTCTTTAGTTCAACCTATCATGTAGGAATAACTTTCCTCCAAGTGGCTTAATTCAAGGTACATCCTTTAAAAATACCTCGTTTTTTTTTCTTTTTTATCTCACAAGCATCACTTTGGAATTCCCTTGGGACACATTTAGAGGAATGAAGTGATATTACAAAAAAGAACTGACAAATCCTATCATGTCCAATTTGCTACCAAACTGTGGCCTCTGTGTCTGAGACCCTGTTTTTAATAGTTTAATGGGGAAAAAAAAAAAAGAAAAAAAGAGGTGAGTAATTTTGGCTCCATGCAAACATGATGTGGGAATGGCATCCAGGCTGCAAAACATGCTGGTGAATGTTAAAGTGAGCTCTCTACACTTAAAATACAGGCATAGTACTAGGCTATTCATACCATCTCGCAGCTGAACAAACAATATGCAGAAGTTAGACAGAAGCTCTATATAACCTTCAGCTTTGGTAGGGCTTTTTCAGGGGAGTTGGTATAGAGTTTTAAGTCAGCGAACATCCATGGTAAAGCCTCTGTACTTATGAACAAAAAGTAAATACTCTTTGGGAAATGTACACTCATAAAAAGCAGCATTTAAAAAAAAAATATATATATATAGGGGGGAAAAAAGAAAAAAAAAAGGAAAAAAAAGAAAAGACCTGAAGGAGAATTAGCTCTACTCATCTCAAAAGTATTTTTAATATTTTCCTTCCCTTGCATTTTCAGGGATGTTGCTTTGCCTTCTTTTTTTATCCCTTGAGGCTGAAAACTGAGCTGGGGTCTGCTATCTGAATCATCAGGTATACATCCAGAACAAAGCTGGGCTACTTTTTGTCATGGGGTTTATTCCTGATTGAACCAAAGCTAAGGAACATCTTTACATTATTTTATTTAGAAAATGAAAAGCCAGTCCCTTACAAATAGGAAAATGGTGTTTTCTACCTGTTCTCTCTGTCTTTGTCCTACCAGAGCCTGATGCTGAAGAGACATACGGGGACTTTGTTCTAACCCTGCTTCTCAGATAATCCTTTTTCATCATTGTAATTTAGGGGACAAGGAGGAGAAACTTGTATGAAAGAATAGAAACAAACCTGTTTAGAAATGGCATCTTCAGAAAACCAAGGGGAAAGAAAAGGCAGATCCAAATAACATGGCAGAGAATAAAATTTTGTGGCACTTCAAGGATAAACAATTTAAGCACACAGTCTGGGTATTTCCCTATCTCAGCTCTCCAGAGGCTGCTCTTCTGTCCTGATTTGAGAGATGCTATCAACACCAAACCCACATGAGTTAGAGATGGAAAAAAAAAGAACACGCTTTCTGTGATCTCTTTTACCCCTCAGGGGAGTGATTCAGTCACAAAATTGTATTAATTGTATTAATAAAACAAACAAAGCAAACCAGGAGTCAATAGTAAAATGGGCATTTCAGCAACATGATCTAATAAAACTGCTTCTACCTCATGCAACCAAAAGTTCAAAGACCCTACAAGGACAGTGCAAAGATCAGTGATTCAAGACTGAATGTAAAAATCCATCCAGATATGGACTTTAGTCTGCTTATTAACATATCTGAGCCTTTGCTTGCATTTTACTAAATTATACCACTGAACTGTTCATTTTACTATTAAATTCAATGTGGGGTTGATGCTATTAATGTGCTTGAGTTCATCCATTTGTCTGCAGCCACTGAACACCCCATACACCAGATAAATGTTCTGACTATGCTGGCACTCATAATGTGATTTTAAATGTCATGAGAGTGGTCCTCTGAAGAAGAGGTTACCCTGGGTGAAAAAGACAGTGTCCAATTATATAGCTTTTCACACACACAAAAAAGAAAAACAACCCAACATTAATACATCTGACATCTTGGTAGAGTCAGCTTGTTGATC